GGGTGGGGTGGGTGGGGGCTGGGTAGGAGGTGGGTTGGGGGGGTCGAGGGTATGGTGGAATTTTTTATTTTTTTTTGGGGGTGGTTGGGGGCTGGTTTGAGGATAGGGACAAAATAGATTGATTTTTTCAACAAAAAAATAATTGTAATTTGAAGTTGGAAGAGAGGTTTGGAAAATGTTTTCCTTGAGTTTTGAAGGGAAGTCATTTTCCTTAAATTTGAGGAAAATGAGTTGATTTGGAAAACATTTTCCGAAAAATGTTTTCCTTCATACCAAACACACCCTTAGTCTTTCTCTAGCACATAATAAATTATATGGGCCTATTCCAGATTCATTTGGCAAAATGCTGACCTTGGAATTCTTGGATTTGAGCAAAAACAATCTTAGTGGTGAAATTCCAAAGTCATTAGAAGCTCTCGTGTATCTCAAATACTTGAACTTCTCATTTAATGAAATCAGTGGAGAGATTCCCACAGGTGGTCCTTTTGCAAATGCGACAGGTCAATCTTTCTTGTCCAATTATGCACTCTGTGGTGATTCTAAGTTTCATGTTTCACCATGCGTCATCAAATCTCCCAAGAGATCAAAGAGAAAAAAGATAATTTTGGTTTTGTACATCCTTTTGGGAGTGGGTATGCTATTTCTTGCATTAGCCCTCGCATATGTATTTTTAAGATGGAGAAAGATAAAGAAGAATGCAGATCAAGCAGATGTCTTTCCGGTAAAAGGGAAACATGAAAGAATTTCTTACTATGAACTTGAACAGGCAACAGAAGGATTCGACGAAAGCAACTTGCTTGGTAGTGGGAGTTTCAGCAAGGTTTTCAAAGGGATACTTAAGGATGGTACTCTTTTGGCAGCAAAGGTATTCAATGTGCAATTGGAGGGTGCATTCAAAAGTTTTGATACAGAATGTGAGATGTTGCGCAACCTCCGCCATCGAAATCTTACAAAAGTCATCACCAGCTGCTCCAACCCTCACTTCAAAGCCTTGGTATTAGAATACATGCCGAATGGGACACTTGAAAAATGGCTATACAATCACAACTTTTTCTTAAGACATGTTGCAGAGATTAAGTATAATGATAGATGTTGCATCTGCAATAGACTATCTCCACAATGGCTATTCAACTCCTGCGGTGCATTGTGACTTGAAACCAAGCAATGTCTTGCTAGATCAGGAAATGGTTGGTCATGTCAGCGATTTTGGCATTGCAAAATTGTTAGGTGCAGGGCAAGATTTTGTTCAAACAAGGACAATAGCAACCATTGGATATATTGCTCCAGGTATTGTAACTTCTATAGCTTCCTCATATCCTTAGAATGCCCAAAACAATTATAGATTGGTACTCAGTATTAGTATGTTCATCGGTAACTAGGAAGTTTTTTTGTGATTATCTTTTACCATGATTGCAGAATATGGACAAGATGGAATAGTTTCCACAAGCTGTGATGTTTATAGTTTTGGCATCGTGATGATGGAGACGTTCACAAGAAGGAGACCAAGTGATGAAATATTTACCGGAGAAATGAATATACGATGTTGGATTAATGATTCTTTTCCGAGTGGTATTCATAAGGTGGTGGATTCTAATTTGATACAACCATGGGATGAACAAATCGATGCAAAGATGCATTGTTTGTCATCTATCATGAAATTAGCTTTGAGTTGCACTGTAGTGACACCTGATGCAAGAATTAGCATGGAAGATGCTCTTTCAACACTCGGAAAGATCAGACTCCAGTTTGTCAATAGTCTCCGCTAGGTAGAATTAGACTGTTGTGTTTTAATTAGTGTGAAAAATTAAGGTGAAAGTTCAGGTAGTCAGCCAACTAAGTTATTTCTTGTTGACTACCATTTATTACAGAATTGAGTTAAATATGACGTTATTATCAGATGAATTTGGCAATACACATGACATGAAAAATCACATTTACGCCGCAATTTTTTTCGAGCACATAATTTTTCTTTGATAGATCGATATTTCTATCATGATCTATATAAAATTTTAAATAATAAATTTAATATAGTGTTCAGATTTTTTCCAAATCTGTATAAATTTCAAATAATATTTTAATAGAATACTCAAATTTTAGTATCATCATTAATTTGAGAAAAGAAGTTACTCGACATAATTTTGAAATACAGAGATGTATCGATTGGATTTTTGTCATATCTAGTCAAATCCTACCAAGTGATTATTAGTTATTTTCTTATTTTGGTATTTAATAACTACAGAAAATCATTTAGAATTCTCACGTATTTGAGAAAATAAGTTACTCGGCGTAATTTTGAAATAGAGAGAAGTGTCTGTAGGAGTTTTGTCATAACCAGTCAAGTCCTACTAAGTAATTATTTAGTTATTTTTCCTATTTTAGTGTATAATATCTAAAAAAATTCATCCAAATATGTAATGTACATAAATTAAAATGACAAGTGTCTCATTATATAAGTAAGACAACAATGGAAAACTTTATATGTTTTTATATACACTGATAAACATGGATAAATCTCCAAACAGTTACTTGGATAGTGATAATCAAGATTATCTTTATTCCTCTACTATACCATGGGCCAATAAATTTGATTTTGGTGAAGAAGTAGAGTTGTCAAAAATATTTGATATGCCTAAAGAGCAGCATTTGAACACCAACATTATTCCTAGCACCTCAGAATTACCTAATGTTGTTCCTACGAACACCACCAACATCTCTAGTCATTCACCAATGGATAAGAATTCTTCGAGAATAACTTATCCTATTACTCTTGATGACAATGATGACTATTCATTATCGTACATTTATTCCATGGGATTGAAAAATGAAGAAAATCCTAAAACCTTTATCCCTATACCTATTGTTATGGAGAAACAAGGTGAAACTACAAATGACATGATCCTTCAACAACCTCTACCAAAAATCCCAATTTTGGAGAAACTCGAAAGAGAGTCGTCCTTGAAATCAAACTACACCACTAATCAGCCTTTGAGAATTATTTCAATTGATTCTTGGAAAGAGCAAGAAAATGATAAGACTAATGACATGATCCTCCAACGACCGATGTCACATATTCTAACTCTGGAGAAACTAGAAAGTCATTTGATAAAGTCTAAGTTGATGGTTGGTCAAGAAAATGGGATTAGCAGTGGTGATATATATATATATATATATATATATATATTATTGATGATATGCTAATTATTTTGTTTTCATTTGGATATTTTCTAACTTCTCTTTCAATTCTTAGATGTAAGTAAACTTTGTTATTGTCATTTTGGTTTAGCAGTAGCAATGGAGGTCCTATAAGAAGGTCACCTAATAATAGGACAAGTTCAAAATACCAACCCTTTGGGAAAGAAATGGATCCAAACAATCAAGGATCATCAGATAGGCGCATGCTAATTTCTCTCTTTTACTCTCCAAATTATCATTAATATATTAACTAGTAATGCTCAATCTAACTCATCTCATCTTGTTAATAGTATTTTTCAGGGTTGGTCAAAACAGTTCAGAGTCGAACTTCAACAGACCACAAATTTTTAATGAATATACTCAACGGTATGGCTATTCCAATGAAACGATTACGTTGAGAAGCTTGAATAGTGAGAATGGAAATAACGATGGAGCTCCTGGTCAGTTATAAAAGTCTTGTGTTGGAATGTATGCTTCCACTAACTGTCAATGGACCAGGTCCTTTTACACTATAAGAACAATAACTGAAATAGATGCATAAAGTAAATGGCTGAAAGTAAAATCTGCACAATGATTTTACGTGGAAACCCTCTTGATCAAGGGAAGTGAAAACCACGACCTGTCCTCACAAGCTTTTCAACCCAAACTCCATTTCACTCAAATGGAGCAATGATTCAGATTACAACTGCTTGCAACCTAGGAATTTACCTCTAAATCCTTTCCCCCTCAATGTAGCAACTCTTACTACAAAGAGAGCAATTAAGCAATAAGACTATTGCCCACTAACCTATCCACCTCTAGATAACTTAGAATTTGACTAAGCAACAACCACGTTGCCCACTAAACCATCCCACCTAGATGACTTAGAATTTTGACTATGCAATAACCATGTTGCCCACTAAACCACCTACCACTAGATGACTTAGAATTTTGACTAAGCAGCAACAATGTTGCCCACTAAATCAGTTGACCTTAACCGACTTAGACTTTTGGTAGAACAAAACAAAGATCTAATTCCTTTAAAACATAGGAATAGATTTACAATGTAAGCACATAAGACACAAAACTCAAGATACAACAAAGACTCTTTAGCACTTCATCAGGTTCCTTTGTTGAGCATGAACAATGTTCTTCCTTGAAGATGGCTTCTTCTTTTGAGCTTTTGAATTTTCTGAAATCCAAAACTTTATTTTCCAAAACTTGAGTTTGTGTTTTTGGTGAGGAGACTATCTAAAACACACACAAACTCCTTGAGACGACCTTATTAGCTGAAAGCCTGTAGTTCAGAAAAGTTGTTCACCTACCACATCAGAGGTGGCAACTTTTCTGACGGTTGTCTTGTCACCTTTTCATATCGCAGTCTTGCAGGGACCAGGTCCCTTGAAATGTTCTTTGGGAGTTCCCATTGGACAAACACCTTCGTCTATTCTGATTGGTTAGTACGATGGCGCCTCACCAACCACTAACTGGCAGGACAACTTTACAGTTGTATCTCATTATGCATCTGATGGAGAGAACTCTGCCAGGGACCAGGTCCCTGCATTTGTGAGACACTAAAACATACAATCTCGTCCGCTCTTCCTATTGGTACAATACACTGCATTTTTCACCTACCACCTGACATGACAACTTTACAGTTGTACCCCATTTGAATCTGGACGAGAGCACTCTGCTAGGGACCAGGTCCCTACATTTGTGAGGATCATCAAAACACCTAGAATATAACATATTCCCCCTTTTTGATGATTACACACAAATATTCCTTACACTGAGTTTATTCATTCATTTCCCCTGCCAGCAGGCTTAATAACAAGAATCTGGTTCCTTGTTAGATCCCTAAGTTTGTTAAATCATCAAAACTTAATATCAGTTCCAAACTAACATTTCCGCCCTTTTTGATGATAACTGACTTATTCACCAGTTCCCCCTATCAATAAGAACTCTTCAGGTAACTGGATTTTCATCATCCCCGAAGTTTGTCAAATCATCAAAACATCAAAATAACATTTTCTCCCTTTTTGATGATGACAAATTTTTTCAACTTCTTCCCCCTATCGGCATGAGCATGTCCTCTTCAAGTAGCACTTCTTCCCCCTATCTACATGACCATGTCCTCTTCAAGTAGCACTTCTTTCCCCTATAGATATGACCATGTCATCATTTATTACCATCATAATTTATTACGATCATTAATCTCATACCCTAATAATCTTCCCCCTTTTGATATCATAAAAAAGGTTAAATCAGTAAACCAAGTTGCCAGAAATATAGTTCAAGCAAGTTCATGGCCACTTGGGCAACACTGAGCATGAGTAAAAATGCATGAAGTAATGGGACAAGTCAGTAGAAACAAGACATTTTTTATTCATAAATAAAAGATCAGCAATCAAAGCATTGCGAATATTATTACGAATGAGAACCAAGGAAATACCCACTGAGTTTCAACAGAAAAAAGGAATGAAGACTAACATTGGGAATTTAGGGAGAAAAGGGATGACTTAGGAGCAAGGGATGGAAAGAATAGAATTAGTAGAACATATCCCTTAGCATGATTTTTTAGAAGCCTTTCTTAAAGTTCAACATACTTTGCTGCCATATTTTTTTTTTCAACCTGGTCCCTCTAATTGTTCCTCTAGAAGCTAAGCCTTCAAACAAACTATTTAGCATCCATATCAAGCCTGAGTTTCTCATGACAGAAGATTAGTAAGATTAAACTTACTTAAGGCCTCCGAGATAAATAGATCAATAATTGAGGAACCATTTCATATATTATTTTTTTCATTTCCATTTTTTTTATCCTTTTTTTTAAGTCAGACACCCTCCTATTCAACATATTTTGAGTTCTCAGACTATCAACCTTTTCCTTTTTGATTATCGTCTTTTCCACCTTTTTTTTTTGCTTCTTGGACCTGGTCCCTCTTCACACTAAAAAATTTCTTAATTGAAAATTCTCCAGTA